GGTAAATGTAGATGAAGCAGACTGTCGTACAATAAACAGGCTTGAAAAAGGTCCCGCCATGGAGGAGTGGGTAGAAGGTAGCTCAGGATCTACTTCTAGATCTCTTGAGAGATTTGCAGAAGATCCGCATGGGGTTGTGACACTTAATTTTTTAACCTGTAGCAGCAACAAATATGCTATCTCTCACTAAACAGGCTACTGAAATGTAGACAAGACATGATTTTGTAACTCAGCTGTTCTGGTATTGAAAACATACCTAGGCTCAGAATGTGCTCAGAAGCACCCCCTTTTTTAATTATATTGAAATGTCTTTTTGCACTTCGCTCCGGTTAATAGATCTTGGCGTTCTAGTAAGAAACAAAGCTGGTCCAACAAGCCTAAGTCTGCCATTCCCTTCCATAATGCAGTCATGGTTGGGGAAGTCTACTCTTAATAGTAGAGCTATGGTTGTAAGGGGCCGGTATATGCATAGTAGACCTGTAAGCAATCACTGCCAGTTGTACCGCTTCCTTTCTGTTGAGCTGGCCTTCAATCCAGTGGCGCATGGTACCCATTGGGACTGGTGGGTTAGAAAGCGGGGAGGCCAACAGTGAGTGGAGTCAGAACCCATAACTGACAGAGCCAACTCCATTTTAGTATTGTCATCCTTCTCCACCCTGCTGGGTTCTACAAAGATGACAATGAGACTGAGGAGGAGGCCCAGAAAGCTGGCAGCCAGGGCCCACGCCCTGGAGTGGTTGTAAGTAAGAAATCAGACAGGTAGGGTTTGGCTTGAGGGCAGATTGAGGTTGGTGGGGCAATGCCCCATTTCCCGTAGTAAACCAGCCTCCGCCACTTCCAACTTCTAGTTGTTTGGGAGAGGTTTGTTTCTGGCTCCTGATCTAGGTGACTTGGAGGTCATTGTAATTTATTATGACCTGTCAAATATGGACTCCTCCTCTAATTAGTCACTAGATAATAGGAAGGATATTGCCAGAGAGGGAACATTGCTCCAGTGTGGATCATTTAACCCGTTACTCATCTTAAAGCATGCATGTGAGGGGTAGCTACACAGCTTAGAAGGAGATGCCAACTAAACACATGGAAAAACTTTCTGGCAGGAAGAACTGTGTGACAGTGGAATGGTGTCCCTCGGGAGGTGGTGGACTCTCCTTCCTTGGAGGTTTTTAAGCAGAGGTTGGATGGCCATCTGTCATGGATGCTTTAGCCGAGTTTCCTGCATTGCAGGGGGTTGGACTAGATGGCCCTTGGGTCCCTTCCAACTCTGCGATTCTTCACCTCAGTCACAATGGTGAGAAACTTGCATCCTCCCCAAAATCTGGCAGGATAATTCTCTTTGGCAAAGACATCATGGTAGGGCACTGAACAGTCTGTCGGCATTTACCTGTTAAAGAGGTTCAGCTGGAAGATAACGAGCAATTTGTAAAATATCATTAACAGGTTTCCCTCCCAATTTATTTTCAGGAAGGATGAGTCTGACACAGAAGCTGAGAACAAAGTGCTAGTTTTCTCACGGACACTACCTTGCTGTGGCCAATAAATTTGAGTTCACTGGGCTTCCCATCAACCACATAGGTTCCACATATCAATAATTTCTATTGTTGTTGTCTCTCAACATACCATGCATATACTGTTGGAAGTACAAAAACATTCATTTTACTTCAGTGTGCTCGCCATCATTTTCTCAGAGAGGATCAGTCTTTGAGTATATATTCTTTGCAATAATCAGAAACACAACTTCCATGTTCAGTGGCTATGTGCTTTTGCTGGATGTGGTGGGGAACAAAACAGCATGTGGATTGTTCCCCCTTGTGCCTTGCTTGTGAACTGTTTTCCCAGGGATATCTTGCTGCCTTTAATGGGCAGGTGAGAGTTGTGGTCCTGATGGACCTTGGGTCTGATCCTGCAAGGCAAGTCCTCATAATTATTTTTTGTGGTGGTGGTTGCTCTCCTTGATGTTCTTACATTGCCCAAAGTGTGGATGATTTTCAAGGACTTCAAATGGTTCTTAGTTAATGGATCTAAAATCCCAAGTGGTTGGGACATGATAGGCCTGTAAAACTAATCCAACATTTTGTATGTTTCTTGAATGGCTCCCTTGTTAGACAAAAACATTCCTTCTCTTAGATTTTCCCCTCCAGGGCCTGCCCATTGTTTTGTTTTGTTGCTTCCATTCCTCCAGAGTTTTGGTGCCAGTAAACTATCCAGATGGATTTACCTCAGTCTGGAAACAAGGTGTACAAGGCTCCTTTTTTATATATTTTATTTTGCAGGAGATCATTACCTAGTGCCTTTTTAAAAGCTTCTGTTTTGTTTTGTCTAGACAGAGCAAAGAGCTGCAGGGAATTTTTCTGATCTGAATCCCAAAACACATTTTATAAGGTATTATTAAAATATAGGCACGTAAATCTGCTGCAGCTGGAGGCATCTTTATATTCTACTCTTTTTTTATTATTTTAAAAAGAAACACTCCTTCCATGTGATCCCAGAATGGGTGTGTTGTACCAGCAGAAGGCACAGCTGTTTCTCAGCTCAAAACCCATGGTCATGTTGGTGAAACAAGCACCAGAAAACAGTCTCCACCTTTGTATTTTAAAAGAGATTTATTTATTTGCCACGCCTCACCAACAGGTTCATAAGGCAGCTTGCAACATAGAAAAGAAAAAAAAACCCCAACAATTAACCATTCAGACCACAACAAATAAATAATAGGCAGCAGCAATCAGATAAAAAATGATAAACGGCAAAGTAATGTCATGCTGAAAGCGGTGTCTCTCTCTTAAGTTCTTTGTGAAAGATATTTAAAGTGGTAGGCATGCCGCTGACTACAGTACAGTATATGCTGTTACTGCTGACTTTGCTAGGCACATTAAGGGATTTGTGTATCTACACTTTGCATGCAAAAAAAGGACTATTTCATGGTTGGCTGTCTCTTTGCCTTCCAAGCAGCTGTGGTCATAGGTTTCTTGTGATGGGTCAGGGCAGGATAGTCCTTATCTCAGGCCAATGTCTCTTCTGAGGCTAGTGTAGTTCCGCAGCACCCTGAGCCAACCTCTTCATTTTGCTTTGCCGCATTGCATCCTGGGAATGGAATAAATTGATTGGGCTGTAGCCAGGCTGCCTGCTGAGAATTTGTGAGGGAGTGAATGGAAGATGCCCAAACAAGAATCTTGCCCATTTGTCTTGCCCAACCTGTGTGGGTTTATTTCCTGATTATTCCCCCCTCCTTTACTTTCTTCACATTTTATTGAATGTGGTGGTAGGCTGAGGTGGAACGCGACTGTGTAGGGTGGAGATTAAGATTTTTGAATATTCCTCCATGTTAAAAGCCAGAAACAAATTAGTATTATTTATTCAATTTATGAGTTGCTGGACCTGAAAGAAAGGTTCCAAGTGACGTTAGAAATGTTGCAAAGGGCTACATTGGTGAGAAAAGAAATGCTTAATCTGGGTATAAGTCCCACTGAACTCTGTTTGACGCTTCCAAGTACACATGTACATGATTACACTGTTAGTGGATTAGTTTGGTAAATGACTCAAAATGGATATGTATGCCATGTCCCCAAGACACTTTGACTGCCTGATGCTCAGTGCCATCTCATTTTCAGGTTGAAATGTATTTCCTACAAATTGTCAGGTGGTTGATGTAATTTTTAAAACTCATAATCCCTAGTGGAATGAAGGAACCAACCAAACAAACAAACAAACAAACACATGTCTTGTATTTCATCTCTTGGAATAACCTTTCAGTTTTTCAACTTGTAAAATGGGGGTCAAAAGTGTGGATAACTTTCTGTGTCTAGTCTTCTGTGCTGTGCAAATTGCCCTGCAAGTGATGACCTAGCTTGTTGGCCCTGCATGCAGAAGGTTCTAGGTTCAATCCTTTGCATCTCCAGCGTAGAACTGGGGGTGTCCTCTGCCTGAAACCCTGGGGAATCAGAGTGGACAATGTGGAACTAGATCAGGGGTCCTCAAACTTTTTCAGCAGGGGACCAGTCCACTGTCCCCCAGACCTTGTGGGGGCTGGACTATTTTTTTTTGGGGGGGGGGAATGAATGAGGGACGATGAGCGGTCCGTGAAAGGGCTCTGGAGAGGGGATGGCACCAACAAACCCTAGCCCCTTTCCTCCTCTAGGCAGGGTGGGGAGAAGCCAGGAGGAGGGAGGGAGGGAGGAGGCGCTGCTGCCGTGAGAGGGAGGGAGAGGAAAAGAACGCATGGCAATCCACACGGCGATTCCCGGACCGTCCCTGGGCCGGATTTAGAAGGCAAATGGGCCTGATCCGGCCCGCAGGCCTTAGTTTGCCAACCCATGAACTAGATGGACCAATGCTCTGACTTTTGAAATATAGCAGCTTTCTATGTAGAGTGAAATAGCATTGTTTTGCCACAACACTGGACTGTTTAGGTGGGGTGGAATTGTATGAACTGGCAGTAAATGTCACGAGTTTGGGACAAGGGTGGGGAACCCGTGCCCCTCCAAATGTTTTTGCACTTGCAACTTCTCTCAACTTAGACAGTGGTCATGCTGAGTGGAGCTGATGGGAGTTGGGATACAGCAACGTCTGGAGGGCTATAGGTTCTCCACACCTTCTCTATAGTTTTAGTACAGCCCACAGGCAAAGCACATGCAGCATATATTAAGCTGCTGGGTTTAATCTTCCAGCGTCTTCAGTTAAAAATAACTTGCATAGCAGAACTGAGAGAGACCTTGGCTTGAGCACCTGCAGAGCAAGCTACTGCCCGTCAGATTAGACACCTTGCCCCCCAGATGTTGTTGCATTGCAGTTCACTGGGGCTCCTGGGAGTTGGAATTCCACAACATCTGGAGGAGACTCCCACCAGGTGTCCCAAGAACAGTCAGTGCTGCTGAGCTAAATGTTCTCAAAGTCTTGCTTGGCAAAAGAACATCTCCTGCTACTGTGCTGGTGTGCCACGCCTGCCACCTTGCTTAACGTTCCACTAATTCTGGTTCTACTGATTTTCTCTCCCCGTCTTCTAGAAATTCCGGGTAGATATGCCAGGATCGAGCAACGCTTTTATTCCTACCCTGAACGCCATCACTACCAGCCAAGACTTGCAGTGGATGGTGCAGCCCACTGTCATCACCTCCATGCCAAGTGCCTATTCTCGCTCGCATCCCTACAACCATGGCCTGCCAAATCTGTCCTCGGTTACCGGGCACACAGCTCTTCAGAGACCGGGTGTCATTAAAACCATTGGGACCACGGTGGGCAGGAGGAGGAGAGATGAGCAGGTAGGTACACTGGTTGAAATGACACTGTGCAATCCGCTAGCTGTGTGTGCTTGGAAGTTCTAGGAGCTGAATGCAGAGCTTCCAAGGCAAATAACGTCATGTTCCAAGGGTTTTTGGTGACCCCATCTTTCTCTTTGTGTCCATGGCTAACTTGGAGAGTGCTGCATCGGGAAGATACTTCTATTTAGGGAGTTCCAAAAAACCATGGCAAGCAGCCGTCGTTACCATTAGAGCACATGCTTGCTTTATCCCCTGTCATTTCCAATGAAGGGCTATTGGGACAAGGCTGGGAAGTATTGAGGACCTGTAAAAACTTGCCACCAGTTGGGACTTCCAAGTTAAATCATTGGGGTGGCTTGATGTCTTTTCCTTCGGCTTCCATTTGTATAAAGGCTTTGGTGGCATTTCCCCCAGTGTCTGTCCTTCTGGAATGAGTAGATTCTGATAGTTTATTATTGGATAGTCTCCATTGTTTTCTGTGTTTTGTACTTGATACTTCATTTTTGATTCCAGCCTTGACCTGTACACACAGTTTACCAGAGCACAAAATGTCATTGGGAAGATGGGCAGTATTGTTGTGTTAAGAATAAGTTTTCCTGACCAGAACGTATATTTGGAAACCTAAAGCCAAGTTCTTGTGTTTGGCATACTTTAATAGGGAAAGTTACTGGAGCAGAGCTAGTTTTTAAACAACTTTCTATTTTGCTGGTCCTGGGGGTATATGACTGAACTGAAGAACTGGGGAGGTGGTAACCCAACCTGAGGTTACATCCTAGTCTGTTCAGCCATGAACTTATTCCATCCTAACAGCATAAGAGGTTGTTGTTGGACCAAATACCTACCTTCTCATTCCCACACTGTCCAACCATGTGTCCCTGGGGAGCTCATAAGCAGGATATTAGGGCAATGGGCCTCTCTCTTGCAGTGGATCATGGTGTTCAGAGTGATTCTGGAGGTAGCACATAGCCATCATGACTAGTGTACACTGATAGACTTATTCTCCTTGAATTTGTCTAATCCCCACTTTAAAGCTGTCTGAGCTGCTGCCTGTCACCAGATCTTGGGGCAAAGCGAATTCCATAATACATATTTAAAACAATGCTTGTTTTTAAATGAATCAAAGAAGAGGAGACAAGGCTGCTTCTCTCCACTTATGCCCCTTTCTGCTCTCTCCAGTTTCATCCAGAACCCTTCTGTTTTGAGATCAGTTTCTTCTTTAAAGCACACGCCTATCAAGAGATGATAATAAGAGTCTTTTTTCTGTGGAAAACAGCTTCAGGGTTAGGTGAGATTAGCTGCTGCTACCAGTTGAATGCTAAATCCTCCACCATCAACATCATGAGTGCCTTTGTAGTAATCTCAGACAAGGATCTTGTCAGCTAAGCTCTTTTTGACTCCCTGTTTGTTTGGCTGCATTTGCATGAAAAAGGTATTTGCGTGAGCCCAGGAGGGTTGCTTCACTTCAGTGACGGCAGATGTAAGCAAATGAGACCTTGTTATTGGAGTTTGGTAGCCTGCTCTGGGTTTTGTAGGCGCCTGAGTGGGATTTGTGGCTGCTTTGCCTGATTTTGGGCGATTACTCCATCAGTGTTGCGGCCCTTTCCAGGGGAGTAGCACTGTTGGCCTTTTGCAGCAAAAGCAACAAAAGAGTCTTGTGGAATCTTAAAAACTAAGGGCTGTATCCCTTTGCCCCCAAGCTGCTCTGGAGGGTCCCTCAAATCTCTGGAACAGATTTTTGAAGGTGCCTGGGGGACTGGAGAGAAGGGGAAGTTCTGTTGCACAAGGGGAAGGCTGTTGTGCAAGGGGAATGGCAGCACTGGGTACAACCCTCACAAGTCTACAGCATATGTTTTAATGGAGTAGAGTCTTCTTTGGGTTGCTGCCTCTGGTGTCCGAGCTTACAGAGTCTCCAGGGCTACCATCACATTGATAAAATGCAACAGGTTGGGTCAGTTAATGGCTCTCAGTTTTGTCTGCATTTATCCCCAATCATCAAAACATTTTATTCTGCAGTAGTCCTACTTGAAGCGTCCTTTGCCAAACTGTGTGTTTGATGCATACAATCTGAGGGGCTTGTCTGAGATCACTGGTCATATATAGGCAAAGAAAGATCACCCTGATCCTATATATTTGCTTTAACCTTCCAGGTGTTGATCTTTAGCAGTGCACCCCCCAAAAAAAACCCCACACACCAGGTGAACTCAGTTCATTGCCCCCAAACACCAGTGTTTGCAACTCAAGGGTGGTTAACCAGGCTTTGGGGTGCTAACTATTGGGGAGTATCCCCCTCACCACTTGTCAGATCCTTTGTGGACAAAACGGTACAGGGACAAGGAAAAAACATTGGTCAGCTAACATTGCAGCTTTGGATAGGAGGTTTCCCAGCTCTGTAGCAAAGATGCTAGTTGAGTCTTTTATTGCACTGGAGTCAAGATTTTTGCTTCTAATCCTATGTTCACTTCTATAGAATGGATAGGTAGGATCAGGCCCTTGCTTTGCCATAAGAGCAGCTTTGTAGTTGGGAGTTCTGTCTCTTCCCCATAGGTGGGAAGCTGTAGTGGTGTTGTGATAGTTTTATTTTAAAGTTTACTTACCTATTCATTGCATCTATACCCAACCTTCCCTCCCAAGGAGCTCAAGGTGGTGTTCATAGTTTTCCTCCCCCACGTTTTACCCTCACAACAAACTTGCGAGGTAGGCTAGGCCGAAAGATTGTGATTGCCTCAATGTCACCCCACCCACTGAGCTTCAAGGCCAAGTAGGGATTTGAATTCCCCATCTCTTAGGTTCTAATCCAACACTCTAACCACAACAGCTATCCGAGAGAACAATAAATGTTCCCTACCTTAATTGTATTCTGTTGTACTTCCTTTAAACCAGAAGAAATTAAGATGGCTTACAACTTAATAGCGTGGTGCAACCTATTGAAACGCATTAAGCACCCATTAAACTAAAAAAAAATCTTGTGGGTTCACCTTACTCCATGTGCCCACTTGACTGCTTTGATCTGCAAAACTGGTACTGTGCCACACAGTCCTCATTCCACACTTGTAAGAAATCATTCTTTTTGTGTGGTGGCACCTAAGCTTTGGCACTCCCTGCCTATTGACACCAGGCAGGCACCTTCACTGTATTCTTCTTGGCACCTGCTTAAAACACTTTTTGTTTAGGCCAGCCTATCCAGACACATAGATGTTTGTGTGTTTTAATCTCCCTTAGTTTACTGCTGATTCTAATGCTTTATATAAATGCTTTTCGTTACTTGTTTTTAACTTTCTTCGTTGATAATTTTAATGTTTCTTGTAAACCACTTGGAGCTTTTGTTATACTCGAGCAATAGTTTAAATAAATACATAAGCCATATCAAAGGAACAGTAAAGCATTATGAATTGTAATTGCTTTGGCCTCCACATGAGCTGCTGCCTCACAGCTGTATATGTGCTCGGAGGCCATCTTTGATTCCTTTGTGACTTTCATCTTCTCTCTAGGGCTGGGCTGATTTGGAAAGCATAATGTGTTAATGATGGAAAATCCCAAGCGATGCGAGTGAAAAGTACTTCTTGATACCAAACAAAGCAGCCTATTTTTTGATTTGATACGGGCTTCTCCAATTTGTCCTGCCCTTGAGGACCTTGGCGCCTGACCTTCAAGTTAACAACTGTTTTTCAAGAGGGAAGAGGCATATAGTTTGTTTCAAGAAACAGAAGCTTGCAACATCTTCCTATGCTTTTACCTCACAAACCACCCTCGTTGTGAAACAACTTTGGGAGAGAATCGGCTGTGTGTTTGGCCTTGATTGCAGATTCACTGTTGTCTTGCCCAATCTTCCTCTTAAGTTTCTTCACCCTTTTGCTCCTCCTCAATCACCACCACCTTGCTCACTCTTCCTCTGTGGCTGACGTTCCCTTGAAGTTGTTAAGGGGTTTGCTTTTGTGACTAGTGCTCCTCCTGCCTTGGGGTTCAGAGGTTCAGGGCTGCCAGCTTCCTGAGTCTGGAACTGTGGTGGCTGTGGCGTGATGAGCGCAGCCCAGACTGGCTGATCCATCTCCCATGCCTGAGCCTTGGCTCTCCTTCTCAAGACTGGTGCTATGACACAAGTGGTTCTTTCTAGAGAATTTTCTTTGTAATACAGGGATAGTAAACCTAACACCCTTCAGATGATGTTGCAGCAACATCAATGGTGAACTTGGTGACGTATAGATGTTGTCGGATTCCCCCTGACCAGCTGAGTAGGGCTAATGGAAGTTGTAGAATCCAACCTCATATTTTGGGGTGGAGAGGGGGGCACATGTTCCCCACCCCATATCTTATAACTAAAACATGTGATATATGACTATGCCCAGAGAGTTCAATGAACATGCTGTGGAGTACACCAGACGTGGCTCCTTTCTCATTGTGGTTGATCGTTTGGAAATGAGTTTTCTTCTTTTACCACCTGTGATCTGATGGTGTTGTGTTTTTTCTCTTTGCTTGTTTGACCACAGTTGTCGCCTGAGGAAGAAGAGAAGAGAAGGATCAGGAGAGAGAGGAACAAACTAGCAGCTGCTAAATGCCGTAACAGACGCCGAGAGCTGACTGAGAAACTTCAGGCAGTACGTATTCCCTCCTTGGAAGTCTCCTCCTTTTTTGAGAATGCTCACTTTCAGAAGCCATCCAGAATGGATCTGTTTAATAAAGTTTGCATAATATACTAACCCTCTTCTTCAGCGGGCTTATCTTCTAGAGAGATTTGGAGTGGCCTGACACAAGTTGATGTAGTGCAGGAATCACCAACATAACACTTGGGGCGCACTTATGCTCTCAGAGGTGTGCCTCCAGGGTCTTTCTCCCCTTCTCTCCCCGATGAATTTAGGCTTGAAAGAAGTATTCTATTGTAGCCATTAAAATAGCTTGTGGGGTGTAGATGTCTGTGTGTGGTGCCCACAACCATTTCTCCAGTTTGCAAATGGACCCAAAAAGGTTGGCAATCCTTGATCTATGTGGCAGGTCTCCCAGTTCTTTCCTGCTGGGTTTACACATGATGACACAGCAAGCATTGAAGTGGTACCATGTTCCTCAGAGCATCAAATTCTTCTACTGTTCTCTGTTTTCTACTGTCCTCTGTTCTGGCCCTGTCAGCTTTTAGACAGCCAGGAGACGAGAGCTATCTTCAGCATTCTTCACATGCAGAGCTGCTGGGATCAGAAATGCTGCAGTGGCTCCTGTTTGCAGTGGATTCAGGATGTAGCTGCATCCACATGTTGAGGGAAGTGTGAGAGGCAGCTAGCTCCTACCTTGTTCTCTAACCGATATGGTGTGGAAGACGGTCATTCACTCTTCCTGGTAGAGATCCACAGCAATGAATTACTAAGGTGCAATATTTAGGGATACTGAGCCTTCTATATTTTGATTGAACATACCACTTTGCTGCAGTGACTCCCTCTCCCCCCAAAAATGTGCGGGTTAAGATACCTGAATATTGAAAACACCTGTTTCTTAAAAAGAAAGGGAGAAAGAAAGCATTAGTCAGCAGAGGTTTTTTGTGCCACATTCTGAGTTGGCCAAACTTATTTTTGTTTCCAAATGTGTATCCTGTCCTTCAGTGGCTAGTCAGCATTCCTCAAACCACTAACTTACAAATATTTATATTAAGCCCCATCTATCTACCTGTGTTCACCTTGTTGTATTTTTAGTTTGGGCTCTGTACAAGCCGCTGTTGTTGCTGCCGCTGATCATCTTGTTTCTCCCGGATCTGTAGGAAACCGAGGAGCTGGAGGAAGAGAAGTCTGTGTTGCAGAAGGAGATCGCCGAACTCGAGAAAGAGAAGGAGAAGCTGAGGTTCATGCTGATGGCCCACAGCCCCATGTGCAAGATCAGCCCTGAGGAACGCCGAACCCCGCCATCTCACAGCCTCCAGACCGTCCGGACTGGAGTGAGCAATGCTGTAGTGGTGAAGCAGGAGCCCGTCGAAGAAGAGATCCCCTCCTCCTCCTCTGACCTCGAGAAAGGGCAGAGATCAGTCATTAAACCTATCAGCATCGTCGGGGGCTTTTACGGGGAAGAGCCGCTCAACACTCCCATTGTGGTGACCTCGACACCTGCCATCACCCCCGGAGCATCCAGCTTGGTCTTCACCTACCCCAGCGTGCTGGACCAGGAGTCTCCCCTCTCCCCCTCGGAGTCTTGCTCCAAAGCTCACCGGAGGAGCAGCAGCAGCGGCGACCAGTCCTCGGATTCCTTGAACTCCCCCACTCTGCTGGCACTGTAACCCCTTTTCCCTTTTGCCCCCCACCCCACTCAGTTACTCTGGAGGGGGAAACCCCGCCTTTGAGATCAAAAGACCAGCACAACGACTTTTTTCTTTTTCCCCACCAAGCACAAGGGCAGCAAAAGCAAGAAGAGGGAAATAGTGTGTGTAGCTCCAGAAACTTCCTGGGACGGGAAGAACCAGAACAAACGTAAAGCCATATAGGAGTGGGGTGGGGAAGCATTACTGGGACCCAAGTGCTTAGACTACATGGTGTGTGCGTGTGTAGAAGCGGGTGGGAGAGCCACACTCCCCATCCAAAGTTTAGTGCGAACGGATGTGAGCTTCAGTAAATCGCTAGCCCGTTCCCCTGCCATTGCTGATGAATGGACTGGCGAGACCAGGTTCTCTTCTGTGCTAAGTAGTACATTCCAGTTAGTTTGATCTCATTTGGGCCTTCACCTTTTTACTTTCTGTTGGATACCATGACATTTCGAAAACTCTAACAAAACAAAAAAAAAGGCTTGTGGCAATTGTCATTAAACCGCTGCTGATGTTAGGATCTGCCTACGCGGGATTCTTGCTGTTGTTGGGTGAGGGGGTTGGCTTTTTGGATTAGATGGTGCAGAGCTGAGAGAAGAATAAAATAATAGGTCCAAATGGTTCCTTTAAAAAAAAATCAACAACACTCATAGCACCTTTGTTTTGGGGGAAGTGGGGTAGCATGGAAAGAAACAAGTGTTGGATATTCTGTTGACAAAAAAAAAAAAGAGTCTTCCCCAAAGAGACTGGAGTATGCAGATAAATACATTATTTCTTTTTGCATTGCAAAAGCTATGACTGCAACATGCCTCCACATCAGTGGACCAGGATCGGTGCCAAGGGAACTGGGGAGATGCCAGAGTGAGTTTCCACTAAGCCTTTGTCTCTGGCATGGGTTGTTCTGTAGTTGGCGTTTTGCCAAATACGGTGGCTGGACCCTACGTTGCCTTTCCCCTTGGCTGCCAGCCACCTTGAGTGTGATGTCTCCTCCCCACTGGCATGCCTGACTCGGATGCTGGGCTGCTCTCAAACAAAAGCCACCAGCTCCATCTCTGTGAACCGTTGCAGTGCAGCAGTGCTGCTGTTCTTCTCTTGTGGCTGGTCCAGGAAAGGGATTTACTGAGGGCAAAAGTGCAGGAAGCAAGCTGGGTGCTCCCTTGGATAATTCCTTTCTCTCTGTGTGTGCGTGTTGCGCTTCGCTCATCAGTTCCTAGCCAAAGTTTGTGTGTGTTGCAATTTGATGACTTCAGGCCTTGTAGTTCCTTGGCTCCCTTTCTGGTCCTGGAGACATTAGCGGAAAAATTGTTTTCGTGCCTGAGTATGGTCCTCTGCCGCGCTCTTGTCGCTGCACATTCAGGTGGATATGGCTGTTTGAAAACCTGTGCTCACTACTGAAATGGGCAGCGGGCTTTGCTTTTTCTCGCATCTTCTGTGGTGCCTAGACAAAATCCTATTGCACTTAAAACAGCGCAGCTGCTTGGGTTTGCAGAGCTGAATTGGAGAGAAGTTTGCTGGGTTCTCCCCTTGTTAGGTTAAGACTTTCTTTTGTATAGAGAACATCCCGTTTAGCCCAAGCTAACTAGGGTTCCTGTCATGAGCATATTTATGTTTGCCGGTTTCCACTATCATTTTTGTTTTCATTTGACCTCAGGATTTATTAGGCAAGATGGCAGGTGGATACATGATTTCACTGTGCTCTTTGGAGACCAGCTTTCTCACCTGGGGGAATCTCTTCAAGCCATGTTAACTCCATTGGTGAGCTTCGCTGCCTTCCTTGAGACTCTGCCTTAACAGCTGGGGAATTTGCTTAAGTCTTTTGAGTGTTTCCAGTGAAGTCAGTGACTCAACTCCCATTGACTGGCTGTTGTTTTTTTAATGCATCTGGATATCAGCCATAGTGTTAGGTCAGCTGCTTGCATGTCATTGTGAAAGGCCAGAGGTTCTCAAACTGTGCTTCCCAGGCTGCTGGCAGCCCACAAGCTGCATTCATGTTGCCCACCGAAAACACTGACCAACAAGGATACATGACTTCACAGAACGGTGCTCAGAAAAACAGGCACATCCATCCAATTAGGAAATCAAGACTATGCTTTATTAAAATGCAAGGTATGCGTTGCTTTGCTTTGTAGAACAAAAGAAGTTTATTAAGTAGTCTGGTGAGACCACCAGCAATTTTCAAGTCCATCCCCTCAAAAAGTTTGAGAACCACTGTCCTAGGCTATCTTCTGGCTAGTCAGAATAAATCAAAGCCATACTTAATAACAGCTACAATGAGAAGAAGCCAAATTCTGTAACCTGAATCAAGCATGCACGTATTTGAGTATAATTTTGAAATTCGCATTATTTATATTGCCTGTGCTGGCCATGGGGAGGAGGAAAGAGCTATGCAAAGCGCTAAAAAAAACTACCTCTGTCCACCGGCAGTTGCGCTTAGAGCCCTTCTGTCCTCTTAAAAGTTCACCAGGCATTACCTACATATTTTCAAGCTTCTCTTTGCAGAAAGTAAAGCCACAGTTTTGGGTTTTGGATGACAGCACAAACCGCATATCCATTTCGTGGATCTGGCCTTTAATACTAAGCTGCACTTCAATCGCACAGTCGCTTAAACTCAGAGTAAATGAGAGTCGTGGTAGTAACTCTTCATATTTAAAAGCAAAACTATACTGGAAAGGCATTTTGTTCAAGATACTAAAATCCAGGCATTTTTCTTCTGACATTTCCCTTTTTAGACAGTGCCACTGGAAGAGACTCAGGCTTGTAATCAAGGCAAATGTTATTCAGAGTAGACCTCTTGGAAATGAATGAACCTGGGCTAGCCATGCCCATTAACGACAGTGAGCCTACTCTGAGGACTAGCGTTCCTGGTTCTAAGCATCATGTAAAAGAAAATATTCTAAGCATAACAGGGAGAGCAGAAAACTGCATCATCTGACACTAGGATTTTTTAAAAAATAAAATAGCACAATATACCTTTCACTAAAATCACTGATGTGCTCTCTGAAATACTGCTTGTCTCAGCAGGCAAAGAACATTTTTTTAAAAAATCACATGTTGCTAGCCCATTTAACTGCGCTGGGTCAGACTGACCCAGGCTTCATGTCCGTCTTAGAAATCCTTGGAAAAGAAAAGGTTTGAATGTGACGGAGGCATCTTCTCTGCCAGGCTTGTAACTATTAGCAGAAAAGAAAGAGCATTCTCTGAAATTCCCAGAACTATCCAAGTGCACATGAAGGTGCCTTGGGCACATATGCAGGCTTATATGTGAGGCTGCCATTTGCTAGTTTGGTTTCAGTGGTGCTGCTGCCGCAGCAGTTTGATAGATAACTCTGGGCAAAGGGCACAAATCCTGTTAACAGAAAACCTGGAGAGGACTAAAGAAAATACAAGGGTTGACAGGGCTTTTTGCTCCAGCTTTTTTTCTAAGTTGTAAAAAAATAGGAGAGGCAGGACTTGGAACTTGTTGGTTTTGTGGCAAGTATGAAAGGTGGTAGGCAAGGTCTGTGGAAGAGTTCCATTTTTCAAAGTTTGCCTTGGGAAAGATCTGGGTTTGTAGCTGGAAGCAATTAGAAAAGAGGTCTCTGAACTGCTTCCTGTTGTTGACCTCAGATCTGTCCTCAGGCAACTTTAGTGTGTGGCCGTGTACATGCCATATACATTTAGAGCACATGACTCCTCCCCCTCCTCCAAAGACTCCTGGGAACTGTATTTTGTTAAGGGCATTGGAAATTGTAGCTCTTTGAGGCACAAAATACCATTGCCTGGCTTCTTTGGGGAGAAGTATGGTGCTTTGAATGTATGGTGTGTAACCAGCCTAAATGTTGCTTGTCTTATACCTATGGGTTTATATATATATATTTATCACTTGAATAAGGTTCCCTGATGAGCTGTGGCTCACCTTCACCCTTTCTGCTGGCCAGAAACGTGTCTTGCCACCGTTCTCCACAAAGGAACTTACTAGGGTCATTTTGTGGCAGATAATCCTTTGCATCTGAGTCTTACAGTCGATTCAGGCATGTTTTGCTGTGTGAATCCAGTTTTAGCTCCAGATTCTGCTTTTCATCTTCTCTTGTAAATTTGTACATCTGAAGGGGTTATATCGCACTTATTTCCTAAAGCTGCCCAAATGAAACTCCAGTTTAATCCTTGCAAGGCATGAGCAGTGGCTTTTGGGCCTCTTGGACACTTCTTGATTAATTCTTCCACTTCTTCTTGGTCCTACAGGATGATAGAGACAGATCTGGGTTTTAGTCTTGGGATGTCAGCCCGCAGATGACACCCTGGTGGGATTAATTATGTCTTGGCATAATGGATGACATCTCAGCTGTAGACATTATGAAGCCCCATGTCCCAGTGATGGCTTTACTGTGGAAAAGAGACTAGAGATGTTTTGTAGGTGAAGCCTGGAACAGATAGCGCTCTGATCTAGGAAACATTCCCCTACTTGTTTTTGCATGCATCTTGATTTTTACGGATGTCTTTACTCGTTAATTTGCCATACTTTTGGGAAAACCTAGCACCTTTGTTCCAAAGGAAAATATATTTGTGTCCCAACACTAACTCTCTTTAAAATTCCTGCTTCCTATCCATTCCAGCTTCTAATGTTTGAACTTTTCCTTTCCATTCAGCTTAGAGTGCAGTCCAGCAAGAATTATGGCTTTGGAGCTCTGTTCCATTTCAAAGTGTTTTGTCTTAGCCTGGGTGATGTAGATATAGGATGAGCACAGTCGTTTAAGGGATTGTGCTCTTAAGTCAGCGATGTGCTTGTGATAGAACAGGACCTGGCGCCATCATGTTGGTGTCAATAGATTTCCTCCACCACCTTTTTTTAAAAAAATAATCGATCTATTAAGTTCATTTGAACCTAGCAATGTGCTGCTTTTATATTCTGCTTGGCCTTAATCCTAAAAGTACTCATTGCTTTCACATTTATTTATTGGCAGGCAAACACTTTTTGTGTCTGCTCCAGCAAATCTGCCCACCATTTAATTTAACATCCCTCAAACGTGTGTTCCTGTTTTTTAATGCCAAAATGAAATTCTGCAACATTTTTTTCAACACACACACACACACACTCCCAGAAGTATTTTCAGTCATTAGAGTGGGTCAAATATTTTAAGAGAGGGCACAAATGATCCCATGTTTGTTTTGTTATTTATATTTATATAAAAAATGTTTACATCTTTTTCTCTGCCTCAAATCTGTATTTTAAAAACAACTTTATCCCCCTTCCCTTGCTGACTTTTAAAAATGCTGTTTTGTTTTTTTTTTCTTTTATAAAGTAGATGACTTGGACTTACAATCTTGGGTTTATGGATTTTCCCCCAATTCAGTTGTGTCATTTTCTGTTGAGTTGGCTCTGCCCTGCTTTCTGCTGTGTCTTCTCAAATTACATGCAGGATTTTTGTAATTTTCAAAAATGGTGGTGCCCAAGCATCTTACTTTCCTAGCTTGCTGTAGCTTTCATTTGCACGAATTCTTTCTTAAGTAAGCCATAGGTATCAAGTGGTGTGCATCAAAACACAGGCAAATTTTTGTTGCATTCGTTTTTTAAGTTCAGTGGGACTCTGGCCAAGCCTCTATCTGAAACTTGGAGAGGTGCTGCCACAACAATTGCAGAAATGAAGCCCTTAGATTATTCCTAGGGCGTGTTAGCTCACTAATTTGTGAACTAACAGATTTGGACTTTTCTCATTAAGTACAAATCCTGTTGAGGTGATCGTATATATGATCACATAACTTAAGTAACAACTCCAGTTGCCTGCTTTTTAAGGCACATCACTGCTTGCGTACTCTGCTTACTCAATTGGGAAGAAAATCACGTCAACAGAAGGGAAAGCTGCAAGAAGATCAAACCGCATGTGTTCTGGGACCTTTGCAAAATCAAAAGCCAGAAGAATAGAAGAAAGCAAATGCGTTTGTGCCTCTCTGCAAGCGGGACGAGAGAAATGGGAACCACTAAATTGAGCAGGGTGGGAATCCTTTTTTTTTTAAAAAAAAATTTGTATAAAGAAAACTTCTTTCTAAAGAAGCATAATCAATCCTCTGCAAATAGTAATAGATGAGGCCAGACGAACTATTTCTAGGTACAAGAGATGAATCGAAACTTTTTTTCTGTCCTATGAAACGACTCTCCTCCCTTTCCCATTTCGTACAATTAAAAGGTTGGTCCACTTTCTTGTTTGTGGCTACTTGTTGTGGGGGGGAGGGGAATATGAAATTATGTGTAGAAAATAGACAACAGGTTTGTATTTGCTCAGTGAGCGGATAAAGTGTTGTGTCTGTGTATATATAGATTCTACTGTGTAGTCCACAAAGTAACATTGGTAAGAAAAGAGTGTATCTTTATTCACAAGGTAGTTTAATAGCGTAAAATGGAAGAATGCTTTAAGATTCCTGAAGATAAAAGGGCCTGGATCTCTCTCTGTTTACATGACTCTGATCCTAAATGCACTCCTGTTAGATGTTTGTATCTATACTGCTGATAACACTGGTAGAGGAAACGGTTCTCAGTGATCTTATTTGTGCAAATTCATGGAGATCAGTAAATTTTTGGGTGTGCCATTATATTTCTCTTCCACACAGAAAAGTAAGTTTTTTCCCTCCTTTGCTTAATTCGTGGAGTGGAATTTAAAATTACCGAATTGGAATCCCTTTTCTCTGATCTTTTGCATAGATCTTCCCATGGCAGAGAAGCTTGGCTGAACGGTCATCTTCTCGCACCTTTCCTTGCTATATACAGGCCTACAATATTTGCACTAAAAAAAAGATGTCAAAAATAATTATATGAAAGCTGGTTGGAAAAAGCTTGCTGCTACGAAAGAACATATGAAAATAATGGCCATGCTTTTCAGTTTTAATGGAGGAGTACCATTTTGTAAAGTAAAAAAAAAAATCAATCTAGAATGAAACGAATGAAGGTTTTATATATCTTGTCTTAAATATTACCGTTTTTACCTTCTCTCGCCCTTCCTTTCCCCCACCCCATCTTGATACCATTCCATGCCTGTCATTGCTCCTTTTCGTGATGATTGAATGTGTTCACTACCCCCAACCTGCAAGTTCAAACACTTGTAAATTACGCTTTCATGGCACTGCGGACACCTTTTTTGTATAGTGAGAGCTAACTGGAGTTCTTCTCTCTCTTTGGTTGAAGTCATTAAAAGATATCCTTTGAAGTCATTAAAAGATTCTCTTTGTGATGACTTAATTAAAAGCTTGCATTCTCCTTCTGTGTAAACAAGCATTGATAACGCTGGCACCTCCAAGACGGTTGGTATATTTTTCTGGGAGGGATTCGAGCACATTTGGGAAATTTAGGTTTGTGTGCAATTTAATCCACTTTCACTTAGCGCTCTTTCATTCTACTGTACTTTAAAATGCTCTTCAAAAAAAAAGAAACAAACTTTTTTTCCGGTCAGGAAAGGGATGGGGAAATGTATTGATAACTTTGAAATGAACAGATGGTCAACAAGAAGATGTGTAAACAAATCGGGATGAATGCTCAGGGTTTTTTAAAAAATAATATCCCCACTCTAAAAACAAGAACAGCAACAACCCAGAACAAATGTTCCATAAGGAACGGACACAGTTTAACCGCTACATAAGCTTTGCACAAGCAAATTGTGCAGTAGCAGGTGTGGCAGGTCAGAAAGCATCTTTCATCCGATGAGATTCTTCTTGGAATGGCTTTTGAGAAGTGGGGATAAATGGGGAATAGGGGAGAGGCTGAATAAAGGAACTTCCATAAAAGGGAATCCCTTCACCAAGAGTTTTATCAGACTTTTAAAAAATGGGGGAAGAGACCGTGGGGGTGTGTTATAAGAGAGCAGGAATGCATAATAATGTTCAGCTCCAGAAGGAAAGCACTTGCAGTATGATTAAAGTGGTGTTCTAAATATGGTTGCACTGATGATTATGATGATAACATGAGTGCACTCTTATTATCCTCCAGTCTGTTTGCATAGTTGACATTCTTTCCTGGATAGACAACCCTGTGTGCTTAATGACTGCATGGCAGGGAGACAAATCAGCACGTGCAGCTTTTCTTGCCGCTTGTTGGCTATCTCTTAAAGGCACTGGAGTCTGTTTGCCGACAAAGGAGTGCTTTTAAGGCTCCCCTGTTCTGCTTCTTTTTAATGCAAAATCTTGTTAGAAAGGCTTGGGAACATGAAGCGTTCCCTGAAAGGCTTGGATAGCTGAGGAATTAAAACAGGAGAAGCAAGAATGCTTGGGATTGGGCATGCTTTTAATTGCTGGGCACGAGTTTCAAAAATCAATAGGTGAAGCTTTTCGCAGTGTAGAGGAAAAAACTGATCACCGCCAAGGAAAGGAAAGTGGCAAACTGTAGGTGCTGCATTGTACATAACTAAACATATCTCCTGTGGCTTCCAATCCTGACCTATAGATTCGCTGTCTCCCACAGCTACCACCCTGTGCTTTTGTACAACATACCGTATTACCATAAAGGATATGCATGTCCACAAACCAATTTGCATAGTCTCTTATGCATGCAGCCTTCCTATTTGCCAAAGTGCTGCCTGTTAAGGATGGCAGGGTCCATATTGCACAGAATGAATTTTCACCAGCGCATCTGGCATGACATGGGACCAATGACATCTATGTATCGGTTACACTAGAGCTGAAAAGTGGGGAGGTGTTACTGGGTTCCTCTTGCACTTGCAGACTACATTTCTAAAAAGGGATGAGATGCATCACAGCACACGAGGCACTTGAATTCTTTTAAGAAAATAATTTTGAAAACCCAGGGAATGGAAATGGCTACCTTAAAATGGTGTCCACCCACCATACACCTGGTGGATTCTGGCAAGTCCATGGTCTGTTCTGGCATGGTTCCAGCTGAAGCAAAAGCCTGCAATGTCCAATAATTCATAAATCCCTTGCCTTCCTCAACTTAGTGCAGGAGATGTACTTAGTTCATTAGTAGTACATTCCTTGCCTAGACTGTAAACCAGGCACAGACAACTGCGGGTGATGTTGGTGTTTCAGTGCGGCTCCCCAGACCTCTGTCTGGCCCTCAGCCCTCTCACTAGCCCCACCCTCTCTTCTTAAGCCACACCTCTCAGAAGCCGTTCACACCCTGAGGCTTTTTGCCTGGCTGAAATAATGTCATTTACTCTTTTAATGCCTGCTGCTTGTTGATGGAGAACGCAAAGGCAAGTGTGTAAAAACAAGCCAACTATACCAAGGTAAAGTGCTACCTCAGGTTACAGACGCTTCACGTTACAGATGCTTCAGATTACAGACTCTGCTAACCCGGAGGTAGTACCTCAGGTTAAGAACTTTGCTTCAGGATGAGAACAGAAATTGTGTGGTGGTGGCGCAGCGGCAGCAGGAGGCCCCATTAGCTAAAGTGGTACCTCAGGTTAAGAACCGTTTCAGGTTAAGAATAGACCTCCGGAACGAATTAAGTTCTTAACCCGAGGTACCACTGTAAAATGTATATTATCCATTGCTCAGCCTACTTTTGCCTCTGGCTCCACCCTGCTCTGGCATGTTCCCTGAAAATAATGTGGCCCTTGCTATGAATAGGGGCCCCCCACCGCTACTGTAAAGAACATAGCTTGACGGGTGCAGGGTAATGACAAATAACAAAGAATGATTTGGGTGTCCAAGAAGCTGCCTCATGCCACATCCTATGTGTCTATGTAGCTCAGTGTTATCTCCTCGGAATGGCAGCAGCTCTCTTCCCAAAGCTTGTGGAAGATCCCAGATACAAAGTCTAACCTGTGACATGCCTCCACCTCTGAGGTGTGGTTGCTTGCTCCTCTGGCACATCTGTTATCTTTTAGGGCTATTGAAATGGCTGTTTCCACCAGGGCCATACGTACATAAAAAGAACTTGCCTCGTTATTTCTGGGATTCAATGTACACCTCCTGCTGCACTCAGACCCTGTTTGTACACAATGTGCTTTTTGCAAGACACGCGGTTCTTCTCCAGAGACTCCACGTTCCCTGAGCAATTCCTAAGCTGGATTGTCTTTCAGCCTCAACAAGCAGCCCACAGACACTGGAATCTGTGCGCAGCTACTATAATTTAGATCTGAAGGATGAAATTATATGGCAGCGCAAACCTCATGACTGCTTCAGTCCCCTTTCCGCAGGCAGCTAAGTTAAACCACACTTTGCCTTCCCACAGGAGTTCTGTTCTTTCGTTGCCTTCCTGTCTTCCTGTTTTTAACACCCCCAAGAAGCAAAAAGCTGATGGACAAAGCTTTTCTCACAGGAATTTGGGGTGTACTGTAATGGGTAAATTACAGTCCCCAGGGTTATTTGGGAAAAGAAAATGTGCTTTGAATGTATGCAGCCATACATTCCCACTCAATGTATTTAGGTAGGATCAGTGGCGTAGCGCAGGTTGTCAGCACCCGGGGCAAGGCAAGTAATTTGCGCCCCCTAACCCGTGGATTTGCGCCCCCTAACCCGTGGATTTGTGCCCCCTAACCTGTGGATTTGCCCTAACCCCAGATGTTGCGCCCGGTGCGGCTGGCCCCCCCTGCACCCCCCACGCTACGCCACTGGGTAGGATATCTTCTGTCAAGGATCAAATAATTCTATAGGTTTGAGATCAGCCTTTCACACTGTTTCCTGGGAGTAAGCCCTGCTGAAATCAGGAGGGCTTACCTTTGAGTAGACATGCATAGTGTTACAGTATTTCTTTTCCCTTTCGGTATGGGGAGCGTTGTGACAGGTGGATTTGGAGAAAAGCAGTTGAACTGATTTTTGTGTGTGACAAGTGTTCATAAAAGCTTTAGTTCTGTCAGGATGCATGACTTTGCAAGCCTGAGTCATGGGTTAGAGAGAACCTGCTGTGATGAGACCAAAAAATATGTTTCTGTTGTTTTTAACAAACCACTGTTTACAATACGCTGTGCAATCTTTCAAGATACACAGAATTCTTCCTCAGGGTAGATAGTAAAAAAACCCCCCACCAAATTTAATGCTTTAGACCAAGGTATTATGTTAAACGTTGTGTGAAGTAGCAGTTTTGAGCCCTAGCAGGTCAGTGAAGGAAACCCATACAGATTTACAGCCTAATCTATACATGTTTACTCTGAAATAAGTTCCACTATGCTCAATGGGTTCATAACATACTATGTATATGGTATATGCTAACAGTTAGGGCCTCGGGTTACACTGAAGCATGCTGGACTGAACAAGCAATGCAGCTCCCATGGACAATATAAAAACCAGGAAATGGATAGCTACTAATAGCTTCATCTCCACAATGTTTCAGAGCTCCTAGACAGCACAGATTCACTAAATGACTATGAGATAGGGATGTCTTTACAGCCTTCCCTTAATTTGTTTCATCCTCTTTTAAAACCAATCAAGTTGGTGGCCGTTTCTGCATCTAGTGTTGCAATCCCACATTTCCAATCAACATTTCGTGCAAAGTTAAGAAACCAGAACCTATCAAGAAACTATCCCAGGCCCTGGAGATAAACCTATGTACCCTGTGGTAGAGAGAGACGAAAAAACAAAGGCTTCTGTACAGTATTCCATCTCAAACTGCAGCAAAGAAATGAAAATAGATCTTGAGGGGAAGGAAAAGATTAACTACTCGGGCGGCCAACAACAACCATATTGTAAAATTATGTAACATAATATCAAAAAAGCACCTTCCAGACACATATTTATTTATTAAATATATTAGTATACTGTTTTTTTAAAAAACAAAATGGTTTTCAACCTGCCCCGCCCCTCCCCCCCCAAACCATTGGCTTTTATGGCTCTATCTACACACTACAGACTTATTTTGATTTTATTTTTCCTAAATTAATTGCCATGGCTTCCCTGGGAATTGTAGATGCTGAGATGTTAAAGATCAGTTGTTGTGTGTCCCCCCCCCCCCCTGGGGTGGGCCTGTTCCTATTCAGACTGCAACTTACAGAGCTCTCTGTGAAGGGGAAATAAACCCATGAGCCCATAAGGATGCATATGGCCAACGGCTCATTCCCTTCTGCTCCTTTCAACAACTGTATGGCTTACCCTACCATTTGATTGCAACCGAACTGCATGTTTGAAGTGTAGTTCCGAAAAGTGATTGTCAGAAAATAGCTCTCGTTACCAAATACCAAATCCTAGTACGCAGAACTGAAAGCAAAGGGTGTGGCTGTGCCCTGTTGTTGCAGATAGAGAGAGAGAGAAAGAGAAGAAAC